GATATTACAATGAGAGTGAATAATCAACGGCTTGTCCACCAACTCTTTAAAGTTATTATTATTATTATTACGAAATAGTGGTTGCGACTTCGGCGATGATTTGTAAGAAAGGTTTGCTCCCCACACCGGAGCTCGCGCTATTCCGCCGACTTTACTTGACACTTGACTGACTCACGACTGCCATCCAGAGCACAGGAGAAGTCCATCGAACCTTCGACTCGGCAAACCTGCAAGAAAGCACCACTCCCTGCTCAATACACAGTGTTTCGGGGAATTCACCCCTCATCAGTTGAGCTTGAGTAGGCTGAGGAAGATTGTGCCTGAAGAGCACCACTTATATAGTGCTCTCCAGGCACAAACATCACCAGGGATACAAACTTACAGAGACGCTCCGCTTCCAGCGCGACAAACACCTCGTGAGCACCAGATAGCAGCGTGAGTCAGTAGGGAGGTTTCGCTCTACGGAATTACGTGTGAAAATAACGTATGAACTGCACGGAATTTTCATACGTAAAAATCAGAGCTGTTGGGTTTCGCTCTACGTGATTTCTCCACGACTGCTCAACATGCGTTGTTGCTTTGGAGATGCGTTGGCTGCATGCGCCCACCGTATGCACCATGAACCGAAACCGCGTTTTCCATGATATTTTGCACGTGGTGTACGGTGTGTGTACCTTGTGTTTCGCGCGGCTTGAATGTTGCCATGGACAAATGCGGAAAATGCGAAAATATATTTCAAAAAGTCCTACGGAGGACCCAACGTAGGAAAGAGCTTTCCTACGGAAATCCGTAGAGAGATTTACGTATGAAAGTTGCCCTTGCTCCCCGGCGCGTACGACATACGGATTTTCATACGTAATTACGTAGAGCGAAACCTCCCTAGTGTCGCTCCTGGACGGTGCTTTCTTGCAGGTTTGCCGAGTCGAAGGTTCGATGGACTTCTCGTGTACTCTGGATGGCAGTCGTGAGTCAGTCAAGTGTCAAGTAAAGTCGGCGGAATAGCGCGAGCTCCGGTGTGGGGAGCAAACCTTTATTATTATTATTATTATAGCAATAAAAACTGCTTTATGGCAGTTTTCTAAAAAAAGTTATTGTGTTCTAGTCCATGGACCCCGTCTAAAAAGTAAGAAATTAACGAAATGTGATAGCCGAAAATTAAAATTTCACACAAAACCTCACAATAATCACGACACTTTCAACACTTGTTTATTCCGACACTTGTACTTGTACAAGTACATGCATATGAAAGAGGACCACGCGGGGAAAAGGTCGTCTCGCATTCTGTGTGTGATTATTGTGAGGTTTTGTGTGAAATTTTAATTTTCGGCTATCACATTTCGTTAATTTCTTACTTTTTAGACGGGGTCCATGGACTAGAACACAATAACTTTTTTTAGAAAACTGCCATAAAGCAGTTTTTATTGCTATAATTTCTTTTGTTTTTTTGGCTAAAGGATATAATTGTGTCACCAATGGAATGCCCAAATAAATGACGGCCTACATGTAGCGCCTCTACATGTTATTATTATTATTATTTTATTTTACTAGGGTGTTTCCCACAGACCTATGGTCTTCTTACGGGAGCCCCTATGTACGTGTATCATATCAAATTCAATACCGTAGTATATATATACAATTATAATACTTTAATGATACTTTTTTTATACGCAGGTCATTCTGTGGATGTTGCAGAATTTCATGACTCAATTGTCTTGTCTTTCAGAAATCCAGGTGTCCACACCCTAAATCACATTTACTTGAGAATTGTAACAAGGTGCGTGCCGCAGATGTTTTTGTTGATTCTGTGTTTATAATTGTAATCATGGGTTGTCGTGATAAGGTCATCCGGCATCATATTGTAGTGAAATCGTAATCCTGTTGATGTCTATAAAACTTTTGGAAGCAGTTCAATGACTTCAAAGTGTTACAAGTCCACGATTGTCTAAAACAACACAGCAAAGTAGGAACAATAAACATGTATTAAAATGTAAACAAATACATTGCTGAGTCCGACACCTCGTTCCAACAACTACACTGATCCTGAGGATATAGGGGGCAAGGATATATGGTTGGAGGTACTGAGAGATAAACAAGGCACTCCATAATAATAACATGTTACACGACTTTGGGGGAGTATGAATGATATCCAGTCAAACCTCTTTAGGACGAACATCAAGGGACCGATGGCATTTGCTCTGTGAGTTTGTCTTAACCCTATTTTATAACGAGTGAATACAATAATTATTTCTCCAATAGAGACACGAATAGATTTATTCTACAGCGAAAGATTCGAAGCCAGACCAAACCATTGACTCGTCTTTTATGAAAGAAATGAGTCACTGAACCTTTCTTTAGCAACATGACGGCAACTGAAACAACAACAGAGAAAATACGATACATGTACCGTAAAGTACCGCCAGAGCGCCCCGTCTCGCGAGAGCGCCCCACCTTGATTTTACAGCCAGAGAAAGGAAAATCGTATGGCAGAGTGCAACGAAGTGTGTACGATGTGAGAATCTTAGTGTACTAAGGTCACACTTGGCAGGTTTTTGTGTGGAGCTTGTGTCCTCTTGATCTTGAAGGTACAGATTGACTGCAAAACGTGCAATATGTGTACAAGGTTCATGTCGTATGACCTACAGACAGCAGACCACCTCCACAATACGACCACGAAAGGATGAGATGGTGGGGCGCTCTGGCGGTACTTTACGGTACAGCACATTCTTGCAGGTACTACAAACAGATTGCAGATCGTAATTCTTGCTCTACCGGCACGCAACTTTATTTGGGGCAGTGCAATCTCGGCGCTACTCACAAATCAAACAGCCCAGGCTCGAGTAAACAAATCCGATCGTACGAGATTTTCACGAGACGAGACTGCACCCATTGGCTTGTTTCGTATGAAGCAAACAAGTCACTGAATGCATGAACCTCTCCATAATGGAGATTTTCCCTGATATGCGAATTTAGTTTGCATACTAGTACTCGGCCAATGCGTCCTTGAACTTTTCCCTCCAGATTGGGAACTTCCAACGATGCTATGCCACTGATTCAGATTCTACCCTATGATCGGAGCACGGAATGCCGGAAGTAATCATGACCAGTGCCTTACTTGTAACGTACCAATGTACAATGAACATGAGTATTTCGACAACACATCTAAGCCTCAGCAGCAACATAAGCCTTACCGTCAAGAAGGTGAACTCGCGTTCTTCGCACACTGTTGGCAAGGGCAAAGAGATACGAATGGATCTAAATCCGAATAACATCAGCACACGTTTCCGTAAATGAAAGGGTGAGCATAAGCAAATGAATCGAAGGAAGCTGGTCAATTCAGAGATCACCTGTCATTGAGTATCCCGTAAAAGGAGGCCTCGACAGCAGAAAAGGTAATAATATAGAAAAGAGATCCTGTCAGCTTTTCCATTTATTAATTTTATTGTATTCCACCTAAAATCAGCACACTTTTCGTAAATGAAAGAGTCAACACAAGCAAATGAATCAAAGGGAACTGGTCAACTCACCTGTCATTGAGTAATATTCCGTGAAAAGAGGTCTCAGCAGAGCCGAAGCGAAATAAGCCAGGACACGAAATATCCGAAACAGCTCATGCAAGAAGCAGTTCCAAAGAAGGAAGTTCCTCGCGCATGCACATCCGAAAACGGACTGCACTGCATGCAACACAATGTCTGCCGTGCACGTGCACAGCATGCGGCTACCACGCGTTGGTAGATCTAATACCGAGCACCTTACGTAGAAACTTACGTAGCCTAAGTGAAGTACCGAGCACCTTACGTAGAAACTTACGTAGCATAGCGGTGTCGTTTTTTCTGCCATGTGAACACAATAATAGAAAAGCTGACAGGATCGCTTTTCAAAATTACGTAGAAACTTACGTAGCATAGCGGTGTCGTTTTTTCTGCCATGTGAACACAATAATAGAAAAGCTGACAGGATCGCTTTTCAAAATTATTATTTGCTTGTGTTGACTCTTTCATTTACGAAAAGTGTGCTGATTTTAGGCGGAATGCAATAAATAATGGAAAAGCTGACAGGATCTCCTTTCTAAATTTAGCTTTTCCGCTGCCGAGGCCTCCTTTTACGGAATACTCGATGGCAGCTGATCTCTGAGTTGACCTGTTTCCTTCGATTCATTTGCTTATTATAGCAATAAAAACTGCTTTATGGCAGTTTTCTAAAAAAAGTTATTGTGTTCTAGTCCATGGACCCCGTCTAAAAAGTAAGAAATTAACGAAATGTGATAGCCGAAAATTAAAATTTCACACAAAACCTCACAATAATCACAACACTTGAAATGCTGCTTTCAACACTAAACTTGTACTCCACCAACAATTGGCAACATGCATGCATAGGAAAGAGGATCACGAGGAGAAAAGGTCTTCTACATGTTGCTTTTCATTCTGTGTGTGATTATTGTGAGGTTTTGTGTGAAATTTTAATTTTCGGCTATCACATTTCGTTAATTTCTTACTTTTTAGACGGGGTCCATGGACTAGAACACAATAACTTTTTTTAGAAAACTGCCATAAAGCAGTTTTTATTGCTATAATTTCTTCTGTTTTTTCTGTCACCAATCAATGAAATGCCCTATCAATATGTAAATGATGGCCTTCACATCATATCAAGAGTCCATAAACAAGAGTATGCAACTGTGATCTCTTTTCTATGGGCCAGATGCGCGGCGCGCTGCCTTCATTACATCATTCAGCTGCAGTCCGCGCACTGTGGAAAATCAAACACCGCACTTTCCCTCCAGTTTGAAATGAACTTCCGTACGGAACTGGAGTTCACGCGCCAGAATTCAGAGATTGTGTAGGTACTGGAACGAATCGAGCAAAAACGGATGGGCTCGTGCGAGAAATTGAGAGTTTGAATGCATGCTTTCAGAGCGTGATGAAGGCAAGTTACGTAATGAAGGCAGCGCGCCGCGCACTGACCCATAACCACAGTTGCATACTCTTGTTTATGCACTCTTGATCATATCAATACCGTATTATACGCATTGATGTGCAAGCCTTTTCTTGCAGAAAATGGGACTAGCATGTTCTTCTGCGGGGATACATGTGAGTAGTGGTGGACCGTGGTGATACCTTTTTTATACGGAGGTCATTCTGTGCATGTTGCTGTAGCAGAATTTCATGACTCTGTCATAAAATTGTCTTGCCTTTCAGATATTTCAGATCTCCCCACCCTCGATCAGATTTATTTGAGAAATGTAACCAGGTGCGTGTCGCAGATGTTTTTGTTGATTCTGTGTTTATAATGGTTTATAATCATGGGTTATCGTGATAAGGTCATCCTGCACCATATTGCACTGAAATCGTAACCCTGTTGATGTCGATACAACTTTTGGAAGTAGTTCAATGACTTCGAACTGTTAGTCCACGATTTTCTAAAACAACACAGCAAAGGAGGAACAATAAACATGTATTAAAATGTAAACAAATACATTGCTGAGTCCGACACCTCGTTCCAACAACTACACTGATCCTGAGGATAAAAGGGGCAAGGCTATGGTTGGAGGAACTGAGAGATAAACAAGGCACTCCATAATAATAGAATCGTACACATTTTTGGTGAGTATGAATGATATCCAGTCGAACCTCTTTAGGACGAACACCAAGGGACCGATGGTATTTATTAAGGATGTTTAGCAATGCGAAAATTCGAACTTTTTGTGGTGGTGATATTTCGCGAAAATCTGTTTCGAAAAAGAAAACTTGTGAGGTTTAGCAATGCGAAATGACTTTTTCTCGAAGTTATTTGAATCTTGTAGTACCGTACCGTATATCATGGTATATGCAGCTCAGTCTCAAGCAGGGGCTGTAAAATTACTACTCTCTGTAGTCAAATGTGTACCGAGAAAAGAGAAAGTTACTTTCGCAAATCACTGCAACTTCGCGTCCAAGTTTTCGAAGTTTCGAGCTTTTTTTCTGTACTCATTCCCAGACTCGAATTTTCTTTCGAACTTTCGCATTGCTAAACGTCCTTATTCTGTGAGTTTGTCTTAACCTATTTTATAACCAGTGAATACAATTATTTCTCCAATAGACATACGAATAGATTTCTTCTACAGCGAAAGATTCTAAGCCACACCAACTCATTGACTCGTCTCCTATGAAACAAATGAGTCACTAGAGAGGTTCTGCAAAACGAAAATGAGTACAAGCAGTCGTTCCACGTCCTGAAGTGCGAAACTTCGCACGAACTTTCGCAACTTTGGACGCGAAACTTGCAGGGAACGCGAAATGAACAGTCGTACACACTTTCGTGAGATCGGGTCATGGCGTACGTGCACTTGGCCCGCGCAAACTACGAAAACGTGCAGAACGCAAAGTTTGTGCAAAAATTCGTACACACTTTCGCAATGACTGTCGCGAAACTTCGTTCGAATTTTCGTTTTGCAGAACCTCTCTACTGAACGTTTCTTTAGCAACATGACGGCAACTGAAACAGCAACAGAGAAAGTACGATACATGTACAGCACATTCTTGCAGGTACTACAAACAGATTGCAGATCGTAATTCTTGCCTTGGCGGCACGAAACATCATTTGGGGCAGTGCAATCTCGGCGGAACTCACAAATAATAAATCAAACAGCCCAGACTCGAGTAAACAAATCTAATCATACAAGTTTACTGAACCTCTCCACAATGGAGATTTTCCCTGATATGCGAATTTATTTTGCAAACTCGGTCAATGGGTCCTTGAACCTTTCCCTCCAGATTGGGAACTGCCAACGATAGTATGCCACTGACCAGTGCCTTACTTGTAACGTACCAATGTACAATGAATATGAGTATTTCGACAACACATCTAACATAAGCCTTACCGTCAAGAAGGTGAACTCGCGTTCTTCGCACACTGTAGACAAGGGCAAAGAGATAAAAATGGATCTAAATCCGAATAAAATCAGCACACGTTTCCGTAAATGAAAGGGTGAGCATAAGCAAATGAATCGAAGGAAACCGGTCAACTCAGAGATCACCTGTCATCGAGTATTCCGTAAAAGGGGGCCTCGGCAGCGGAAAAGCTAAATTTAGAAAAGAGATCCTGCCAGCTTTTCCATTATTTATTGCATTCCGCCCAAAATGAGCACACTTTTAGTAAATGAAAGAGTCAACACAAGCAAAAGAATCAAAGGTAACTGGTCAACTCACCTGTCGATATTGAGTAATATTCCGCGAAAGGAGGTCTCAGCAGCGCCGAAACGAAATAAGCCAGGCCAGGATCTAGGAGACGAAATATCCGAAACAGCTCATACAAGAAGCAGTTCCAAAGGAGGAAGTTCCTCGCGCATGCACATCCGAACACGGACTGCATGCACTGCATGCAACACAATGTCTGCCGTGCACGTGCACAGCACGCGGCTACCAACCGTTGGTAGATCTATACCGAGCACCTTACGTAGAGACTTACGTAGCCTAAGTGAAATACCGAGCACCTTACGTAGAAACTTACGTAGCATAGCGGTGTCGTTTTTCTTGCCATGTGAACACAATAATAGAAAAGCTGACAGGATCGCTTTTCTAAATGCTCACCCTTTCATTTACGGAAACGTGTGCTGATTTTATTCGGATTTAGATCCATTTTTATCTCTTTGCCCTTGTCTACAGTGTGCGAAGAACGCAAGTTCACCTTCTTGACGGTAAGGCTCATGTTAGATGTGTTGTCAAAATACTCATATTCATTGTACATTGGTACGTTACAACTAAGGCACTGGTCAGTGGCATACTATCGTTGGCAGTTCCCAATCTGGAGGGAAAGATTCAAGTACCAATTGACCAAGTTTGCAAAATAAATTCCCATACGGTATCAGGGAAAATCTCCATTGTGGAGAGGTTCAGTAAACTTGTTTGCTTCATACGAAACAAGCCAATGGGTGCAGTCTCGTCTCGTGAAGATCTCGGACTTGTGTGATTGGATTTGTTTACTCGAGTCTGGGGCTGTTTGATTTATTATTTGTGAGTACCGCCGAGATTGCACTGCCCCAAATAAAGTTTCGTGCCGCCAAAGCAAGAATTACGATCTGCAATCTGTTTGTAGTACCTGTAAGAATGTGCTGTACATGTATCGTACTTTTTCTATTGCTGTTTCAGTTGCCGTCATGTTGCTAAAGAAACGTTCAGTAGAGAGGTTCTGCAAAACGAAAATTCGAACGAAGTTTCGCGACAGTCCTTGCGAAAGTGTGTACAAATTTTTGCACGAACTTTGCCTTCTGCACATTTTCGTAGTTTGCGCGGGCCAAGTGTGCACGTACGCCATGACCCGATCTCACGAAATTTCCTACGACAGTTCATTTCGTGTTCCCTGCAAGTTTCGCGTCCAAAGTTCGTGCGAAGTTTCGCACTTCATGACGTAGAACGAAAGTTTGTACGCATTTTCGTTTTGCAGAACCTCTCTAGTGACTCATTTGTTTCATACGAGACTAGTCGATGAGTTGGTGTGGCTTAGAATCTTTCGCTGTAGAAGAAATCTATTCGTATGTCTATTGGAGAAATAATTGTATTCACTGGTTATAAAATAGGTTAAGACAAACTCACAGAATAAATACCATCGGTCCCTTGGTGTTCGTCCTAAAGAGGTTCGACTGGATATCATTCCTGCTCACCAAAATATGTGTAAGATTTTATTATTTATGGAGTGCCTTGTTTATCTCTCAGTACCTCCAAGCATAGCCTTGCCCCTTTTATCCTCAGGAGCAGTGTAGTTGTTGGAACGAGGTGTCGGACTCAACAATGTGGGGAAATCTGAAATATCTGAAAGGCAAGACAAATTTATGACAGTCATGAAATTCTGCAACAGCAACATGCACAGAATGACCTCCGAATAAAAAAAAGTATCACCACGGTCCATCACTACTCACATGTTTCCCCGCAGAAGAACATGCTAGCCTTGTGCCATCTTCTGCAAGAAAAGACTTGCACCTCAATGCGTATAATACAGAGGTATTGATATGATGTGAAGGCCATCATTTACATATTGATATACAGTAGAGTCGCGCGCTGAAGAACGCGGAGCCCAAGAACGTCCAGCCTGAAATTCTAAGAACACCACAGCCTAAAGCTAAGAACGGCGGTGTTGGTTTTCTGGCAGCTTGTGGAATACATATGATCCAGTACGGATTGTTTCTAAGAACGGCCCAGGCTAACCCCTTGGAAACAACGTTCTTGGGCGCGCGACTCTACTGTAGGGCATGCCATTGATTGGTGACAGAAAAAACAATAACTTTTTTTTAGAAAACTGTCATAAAGCAGTTTTTATTGCTATAATATTAATAGTAGGCACTTCAGGCGTTTTTTTCAAAACCAGAAATACTCGTATTTCTTTCTTGTATCCGATTGAGATAGGTTTAAGAAGACTTCACAGAAAATTTGAAGCAAAAAGAATAACTTGGCACAAAGATATAGCCACCCAAAGTCGGAGAATTGAATAATAGACTGGGAGCCAAGTGCATGAGTTCATGATTTTCGCTCCCACTTTGGGTGTACCGCGATTTTTTCTTTTATCATGTGGAGAGACCTAATAGAAGATCATTTTTGATTGTTGTCAATTTGGGAAGCTTGCAGGGAAGTCAAATAAAGCAAAAAGGTACTAGAGAAGAGCTGGAAAGAAAAGGGAAAGGGGAATTAATAATAACATCAGTACAATGTAGTTGTGACCCAAAGGCTGGCCGCCTATCGTGGGGTTCGGCGCATTGAAGGATGATTGTACAAGAGAGTACAGATTGGGAAAAGGGGGGGGGAATGAGAATAGGCATTCCAGCAGGTGAGGTGGAATGATCATTCTCCAAAAAGAATCATTCTACCCCAGATGTTGTATTCCTCGATCAATTTTCTTAGCCTATCCTCGATTAACTGCTCCCTCTACATAAAGTTGTCATTTTTTCTTGCAGGAGATCCCCTCTATAGGCCCAAACCCTTTGGGAAATCCTTAAATATAATAAAATGCAAAATACAAAATTTCTCAGCGGTTCCCATTCTTGAATGGGACCAACGTAACGCACTTTTTTGGCCAACTAAACGGGCGAGAATGATTCCAAGTACCGGTAATTCCCATTTTGGGAATGTGACCAACCAAACGTAACCTAATCCATTCCTACGCAAGAAGTAGATCGTTAAACAATAGTATTTTACCAACGACGCCTGAAAACGACGCAGAATTTAGTAAAGCTGCATGGCTCGCTGAGCATCCCAATGCTTTATAAGTAGCTAATCCATTCCGACTTTGTGTACGTGCTCTTCTTTTTCTTTTTTTCTCTTCTTCCGTGGTTGGTCTCACCATTTCCTTAATTCAATTGGCTGTCTTGACATGCCGCGAGGTGCAGAAATAAACAAATAAAATTGAATTGCAGGTGATCAAATCAAAATTAGAAAATGTAGTCCGGAAGGTACGACAAAACGAGATATTTGATTTGGGAATGAACTATTCTGGTTATTTCTCACGTAAAGGGGCTGTGTAATAATTATACTCTGTAGATTATTTATTAATAACCTACGTGGAGATAATAATTTTAATATAGCTATGAATAGGATGAAGGCCACAGACATCATTCAACTACGTTACTTGTTTGACATGTATTACTGTGTACTTTATAACGAAACTATTATTGAAAACCCAGAATCGATTTTCTCGTTCCTATCATCAGTGGGAAAAAAACGGAACTAAGGATACAACCAAAGAAACTGAAGTTAAGTACTGTAAATAGAAAGTTGTATCCTTAGTTCCGTTTTTTCCCACTGATGATAGGAACGAGAAAATCGATTCTGGGTTTTCAATAATATTTTTGTTATAAAATACACAGTAATACATGTCAAACAAGTAACGTTGTTGAATGATGTCTGCGGCCTTCATCCTATTCATAGCTATATTAGATTATTTATCGAAAATATTCTAGACTTTAGTGCTTTTCGCAACTTTTTCCTTGTGTTCAGGGAACGGTATGAACCAGGGAGTAGTGTAGTATCCATGTTACAGTAGAACAACACCTGGGTTATCCTCGCCCTTCCCCCCACACCTCCTCCAAACTATGGTTGAATACGAAATGGACTGCTATGCAGCAAAGAACCTCACTGGGCACATTATACAGTCTACTCTAGAATATGCAAGTAATGCGTATGTGCACTGTTTGAAAACTACCCTATATAACAGGCTTGTAACGGTCAGCCATATTGCGATGAAGAAGGCATTTGGTTTAGATAGAATGACCCCAACTGCATTAGTTTTACAACGGTGTCATCTGTATTCGTTTGAGCAACGAGTTAATTTGAAACTATACGTTTTGGTCTATCGCTGCTTGTCATCAATTACTAGCCCCCTCCTTCAGTCACTGTTTCTCCTGCGTTCAGTTGGCCCGCACACAAATGCTCGTACTCGTGGCCAGGATACAGCTGCCTTAGTATTACCTACTGTACATATTGGGTATGGACTGCGCTCAGTTTCTTTTCTGGCGGCAGGTCGGTGGAACACTCTTCCTCCAAACTGTCGTCAGGCACAATCTGCTGGTACTTTTGCTCACCTCACAAAGATTCACCTAGGGTTCCCTGTAACAAGGCCATGCCTGTTGGGACTTCCCTAGTCAAATAATAAATACTACTACTACTACTACATATCTGGAAAGAGCATTGTTTTCCACATTTTGAAAATTGTATCTGTGCAATCCATGTCCGGAGTACGCAGATGCGCACGGTAGAACGTTTCTCTTTGGCAATGGAGTCCATTTCCTGTTCAAGGAAGTGGGGGGGGGGGGGAGGTAGCAGGAGAAAGAAATTGGCGGGTTATAGAGCAGGTTAGTAGCCACTAAGCACTGCAACCAAGGCTGTGTTTACATGCGAAATTTCAACCCGGGTCGAGTTCAGCCCGGGTTGAAAGTCTGTACGACAGACAAAAGAGGTGAGCGTTTACATGAAGACAGTTGACCCGGGTCAATAACTGATATGCCACCGAAAGTCCACTTTCACAGTCCTGTATGGTCACGTGAATCCGTTCGCGCGAAATTTGCATCTGCAGTGCTGTTTAAACCTGGCGCGAGATACGCACAGAAGTACGTTTGTACGATTTTCTTGACCCGGGTCAAGCGCAATGCGTCATGTAAACGCGCCATTCATTTTGTGCACATGGCGGGTTGAAATCTGACCCGAGTCGAACTCAACCCGGGTTGAAACGCCTCATGTTAACACAGCCCAAGTCAGTTATGGACTCTTGCTGCAACTATTTTTTTGGATATAGCATTGCCGTACCGTACCGTGACTCCTGAGATAAAACGATTTGTCCATATTATGGTCAATAGCTGACCACTCTCTCTCTCCTTATTTCATATCACTTCAGAGAACAGCAAGTGGAGATTACAGTCCCTTTGGAAATGCCGTGTGACAGGATCATGAAGAGGCCTCGTAACGCCATGATGTTGATCGCGATTTTCTTATAATAGTCTTCTTGCCCAGAGTAGTGCTATTGGACAAGGTCTGTA